TGTATACTGTATTTTCATGTATATGCACATGCACACCTATATGTATGTAAACGCCTAGGCCTATACATATATTTGCGCGTGTTTGACCCACAAAAAAATATGTATATATTAATGTACAGAGATAACTATTGATTACATGCTTTCAGCTGACTGGTGGCCTGCAGCGCTATGGCCCAAAGTGTGGCTCCGAATTGGAGCAGAGGCCTGCAACATGTCTTTCTCAGGGGAGGATTCTGGAGACACAGCGGAGGATTCCCAGCTCGCCGGCGAATCCTTTGCTACTACTCAAGACGAAGAGGCAAGCTGAAGATGCAATCAGTGGTTCCGTGTTGCCTTCCCACTAGCTGTGTTTGGAGCTGCCCCATGCCTTGCAGGGAATGCAGGATATTGATGATGGTTCTTCGGTCGTTGGCGGCGAACTTGAAGACGAGGCAATTAGTGGTGAGATGAACAAATATTTGCAGCTTGTTGCAAGGCGAATCAGGGACAGCGATCGGCTGCTTAGGCCGTGTAAACAACTTCAAAGTTCATACAATTGTATAATAGAATTGTCGATGGAATCGTTTGTGGTTCTCATCTACCCTTATGTCGGGCGCGCCAGCCATAGATACAAGGAGCCAAAATAACTTTATAAAGCAAAAATAATAACACAAAACTAAAGGTAAAGCAAACAAAAAAGCAAAAACACTGTAAGCTGTGCGTGTTGGTCGCTTTTTTTTTTCACTTTTTCGCTTTATTTTCGCACTTTTTTCCGCTTTATTTTCGCATTTTTCCCCCCCGGCTTTTTTCCTAGGAGCGTACAGCAAATATTGCTGACGGATAAAAGTTCTCATAAGTGCAGAAGTGGTACCAGGAAAACAGCAAGAAAAATGCAAAAACAACGCAAATTGCGCTGCTTTTGCATTGTCATTTGCTTTTGTTTTGCGTTTTTTTCATTTTTTTTTCACAAAACGAGTTATTTGATGGTTGGTCATGTATGGCTGCCATTGCCCAACATAAATCTACCCACGTGAGATCCACAGTCTCATGCAGCAGCCAGCTGAGCGGGTGTGTGCCGTGTAAGAGTTCGAGTGCCAAGCTTACCCCAAAACACCACTGGGCGTCTTGTGAGATGCTAACCTTCGGCTGTGCTCCTTCCTATTGAAAGGGGTGCGGCTGACTCACCCGAGGAGCGTGTACGACCAATCATTTGACAAGATTCAAGTGCCTCCAGATGTAATCGGCGAATGCAGCGAAGCCTTGTGACTCGTCGGAATGCAAGCCAAAGCCCGCCCCCCCGTTCCATCCACCTGCTCTGGCGACCCAAGATCTAAGGCAAGCATTCATTGTCGTACAGAATAATTCTCGAGAAGCTGCGGGGGAAGCAATTTTCAATGCAATTTTTGAAGCTGCCCCGAGCCTCCAAGTCATGCTCCTTGGACCGAAGTGTGCCCGGGTTTTATTGCAGATCGGGGCAATCCCTGTACCCGAATGAGGTTCAAGTCTCCGCGGCCCGTGATGGCACAAAAATTTTGTGCTGCATTGCTGCATCTACTCAATGTTGCTGTGAAACCGGGCGCCTTGAAAACAGCAGTGGAAACTCTTGGGTTTCAGCACTTGGATGTCGATGCTTGGCGCGGAGAGGTCTGCTGGTGTTTTATCAGGCCTCTTTTTCACAGTTTCATGTTTTATGATATTTATGCAAGGGTACGGAACAAGGGCTCAAACACCTGCAGTACAACAGAGGCTGGTGGTCGCCTTACCGTCCAGGTTTCAGTTGCTCGTGGCAGATTGAATCATGAGCTGCGGGGTTCTGGTGCAACGAGATTCATGTTTGGCTGTGCTTGCAAAGAGGTATGCGCCTTAAGAACGATGGCCTCCATCATACTAGCGATGGCCTCCAACCTAAATGCTGAAATGTAGCATGTTCGATTCACTCGGCCACCTCAGGAAGTCACCGTACCTAGAACGGATGTCTTTAGAGAAGCGATTTTCGAGATCTTTGAGCAGGACTGCCGGGCACAGCTGTCTCTCACATGACGGACCTCCAAAAACGTAGCGGCCGTAGTGGTATTGGTGGTAGGGAGTGGAGAAAACGAAGCCGGGAACCCCCAAAACGAAGCCTCCTTGTGGATTGTTTCCGGGGTTTTGAGGGTTCAAAATGGAATGAATTGTAACAACGCCTGAACGAAGCCAAAGCACACGAAAAAGTGTCTTTAGTAAGTAGACACTGGACCAAGCGACTGTGCCGAGCACTCCTGAATGATGATGTGGTGCTGTGCCTCACATGGAAAAGTACGTTGGTAATCTAACGGTCATTAGCCGATTCAGAAACTACGATTCAGAAACCAAAATGGCCGATTCAGCAACTACGATTCAGAAACCAAAACAGTCCGATTCAGAAACCAAAACGGCCGATTCAGAAACCAAAACGGCCGATTCAGAAACCAAACTGGCCGATTCGGAAACCAAACTGGCCGATTCAGAAACCAAAATCGTGCCGATTCAGAAACCAAAACAGCCGATTCAGAAACCAAAACGGCCGATTCAGAAACCAAGTCGGCCGATTCAGAAACCAAAACAGCCGATTCAGCAACTACGATTCAGAAACCAAAAGAGCCGATTCAGAAACCAAAAGAGCCGATTCAGAAACCAAAAGAGCCGATTCAGAAACCAAAACGGCCGATTCAGAAACCAAAACGGCCGACTCAGAAACCAAGTTAGGCTGTTCAGATGAGTGGGCTGGGAACCATGGCCAAGATATTAACGTTCCATGTGGATGCAAAAGGATTTTACATTCATTCAAGTAAG